GAACATTTCACGCCAAACCACTCTGAATGACGGCTCACAGCTTAACGAAGGAACTGTACGAAAATTCTGAAAAATCGGTGGGATTCCCCTTCAAGCACTAGAGCTCTTTAGAGGTTCAAGCAGCAAGCCGATAGTTATGATGGAGATGGATTACGAAGTCTTCTTGTTAAGACCGGAGGCAGAAGGGAATTTGAGTCCGCATTGAACAGCGAAATAATTTAGGGCCAAAACAGGTGTTGGTTGTTTTTGTACTCAATAAAATTTTTATTGCCTTTTCAAATTCTTTTTTTCCTTCTATTTACAACAACATAAAAATCATGGCCTTAATGATACAAAGCAACACTACAAGGTATTCTCTAGATAGCATAATAGCCATGGAAACACAAGCTGTGGGAATTTTAGCCATTACCCTCAGCGTTGCAGACTATTGACAATTCACAGGACACATAATATAAAATGCTTTTGCATATAAACACTGAAAAAAGTCCTGTCGTTCATATAAAGCCCTAACATATATCCAAAAATATAGGAAATTCTCTAAGGTGGTGCTATAAAGCCACTATGATGCATATTTTTCTTTCCTACAAATAGCCCTCTATAATATCATTGCTATCTCTTTGCAAAATACAAGTAAAATCTGACATTTCATATACATTCCTGCTTTATATTTTTTTATATATATATTTATATATGTTTTTAAGAAGCCACAAGTAAATACTATTTTCTTTGCAACAACAAAAAATAAAAAGAAGCTTACAGTAAAATGTAAAAAAAAAAAAGTATCAAGTGGAATATTTCTCATAAATGCATTTATACTCTGATGTGATCAAATCCACGGCGGGTTTGTCCGCACCACAGTGGTCAACCTTAAGACTACCCAGCTTTGATCGCATTCTGGTCAGTTCCATCGTCTGAGGTTTGATGTAGTTTTCACTTTTTTCAATGTGTCCGCTCTTTGTGGAGCAAAGGAGATGAATGCTTCTGACTCATTCAGTGCAAAATAAAGTGTTGTGCCACATAGTATGTCTTTAAAAATGAGGCAAATACAACAGGTGGAAATAAAAAAAAAACAGCTAAAATAAAAAAGTAGATCGGCAATGTATATGTAGATTGGTAATCCAGTAAGAATGCGCAGATTGGAAATTTGGAAGTTCTGTGCAAATGGGTTCTCAAAAGTAGATTCTCTTGAAAGCAGTAGTACCATAATATAAAACATTTACAGTATAAAACAAAAAAAATAATATGAGAAATATATGATAAATGACAATAATGGAAAAAAGGAATTAAAAATCTCATGAGACAGTTTTGATCTGTAACAGCTGTAGCTGTTAAAAAGTGCCAAGCTTAAGATGGCACCCCACAACTATCTCTGCTTTCTCATACATAATCTTGTCTTAACTAAGCTATTTCACCTGGATTCAGTCAGTCAGAAGTACCACCAGACCCCTAAATGTCAATGAGGAGACATTTGGAGAAAGAAGTGATAACACAGTTTTAAAGGTTCTTATTTTCACAGTGAGCGTCAGTTGCAGTGGAGACTGCTGGAATGAATGCAGGACTGTGAGGTCAAATCATGTACAGTTTTCACAAATGTCACATTGTTGCAGTCAATGATCTGTTTATGTCGTCTTTTAAACCAATTAGTTTTAGCAGATTCCTTAAATGTCTGTATGCTCCATCAAATCAAACATCATGTGTAAATCTGTGTGACTGATCTTCATTGTCAATATCCACAGGAACTGTTTCAAACCAGATATCATTATCCAATTAGGTGTGTGCCCGGTGACAGTTAACTGAGTTCCCGTAGTAACACTCCCTAAGTGACCGGATACAAAACTCTTTTACTGCTGTCATTCATTTATTGAGTTATTTCAAGCAAAGCATAGCCAGACACTAGTAACTGAATGTTTAAACATGCTGTGACGTGATATCCTACATTATACAACAGTTAGTTCCGGCCACACAAGCTGATTGGTTGAGAAGCGTTCTAACAGTGCTGTTATTTCGCCATAACATCACAGGTTTTTCACAAACACTGTATCACTCCGCTGAGACACTGTTGCTAAGCAACGTGTTTGACAGCTGTAGGAGACGCTCAAGCCATTTGAATGTTTTTACTTCTTACTTTGCCACAAACAGAAAATGGACACTTTTAAGATCACATTTGACCGACAGCTGATTTGGTCAGACCCTGAAGATGAGACTACACTAAATTCCCAAACTGTCAGTTGGTCTGTGTGGAGCTGGAGAACGAACTGCCGGCTGTGCGGCGAGTGAGCGGAGTTCGTTACTCTGACGTAGCAACAAGCTGCTTGTTAAGGAACTATAATTTGACGGAACTGTGAACATTAAAACATATTAAATGCCATGTCCACGGCCCAGTTTATTAATTAATTAATGATGTTATTTTGCCATTAACACACTTCCTCTCGTGTTCTAAATTTGCTGAATTAATACCACATTAACTCAGATGAGGTTGTTGTAGAATTGTGAAAGTTGAGCTGCACTTGGTGCTGAAGGTACAATTTAGCACATCCTCAGACCACAGCGTCAGGCTTTAAAGGCTTTGGGTCATAAGTAAAAACAATTTAGTGACCAAATTAAAGATGACAATACAGGGTGATTCAAAAAGATTCATCCGATTTCAAAGCGCCATATTTTCACAATCGTAAGGCGCCTAGAAACCAATCACATACCAATTGAAAGAGGGTCACAGAGTTTCTGACTGTTACTGGAAGATGGCTCCCCTCAGTCTGCGAGGAGATGGAGCTGCTGGAGGAGGTTCATATTGAGCTTTTTTAAAATTACATAATAAACTTAAGGCTCACTTAAACCATTTACAGTTTACTGCCTTGTTCTGTAATGATTTACAAGTGAAATAAATCATTTTGAGGTTTTGAATCACCCTGTATATTGCAACCACAACTTTAAATATTTTCTTTTATTTCACAAAATTAAAGCTTCACAGTTTTCCCCTGTGCCCTCTTCAGAGTTGGGAACTGTCTCAAAATTACCTCACAAAAAGTGTTCATATCATTATTATTTTAGGGTTTAAAATGTTGCTGTTGTTATCATTGTATTATTGCTTATCCGTGTAAAATAACCTTTGTGGAAATAAAAGAACACAAAATCTGCATCCACACCTACCTGGCATGCTTTAACCCTTTACCATGGTTATTTCCTATGGTTATACGAAATAAGAGGACTCAGTTACCGGCCAATTAAATTATTGACTTAAAATATAACATTGATAACCTGCAATTTTAGCTTTACACCTCTTTCCAAAGTGAACATGGAATTTTGACAATGAAGAAAAATCTTTTCCACAGACTAGAATTTCTTGTTGTTGACTGTGTATTAATGACATACATGGACTTCACAATCTGGAAAGTGTAGAAAACGTTGGGGGACTTCAAGATAAACTCTGGCTTGCTTGAAATGTTAGAGAAGTGACATGTAAGATTTAATCATGAAATATGTCCATAAATTGGCACCATGAGCCCACATGCAGCAACAAGAGCGCATATTTGTTTCTAAACTGGTGTGCAGTTGGGCCAGTTCACACGGCAAATTCATCAAAACATGGCCTGCAACTCAAGCAGAATGGGTTACAATGCAGGCTCAAGCTTCAGCTCACAAGAAGCAACATCAAACACAATGGTATAATTTAGAAGCCAAACACTTCTAATCACTTTTAATCTTACATGTAGCTCCTTTAACAATATCTGCCCCCTATTATCATAAACAAACATGCATAGTTTTTAATCACCTTTTTTAAAAAACTGTAGGCTATATCTGTGACCATTGATTATTAAAATGTAATCCACCGCTTTTTTATAAGGTAAATATTCGTGATGCAACTAGGGACTGTAAAATAAATAAACATAAATAGCGAACCTTACCAACAGAGTCAGTGAAGTTATGGGAAATTGAAGGGTCTAAAGCACATTTTCATGCAAGAGGGTCCATTATTTGTCATCAACATCATGTCAAATTCACAAGGTCATCGAAATAATGGAATGGAAGTCAACCACTTCATTTCTGAAGTGCAGGTGCTGTTTGTACTGTATGTCCTCACGGATGGTGGGAGCTTTTTATTTGAAAAAAATGCAGGCTAATTGTGAATGTTGTGGAGCCGGGGACAATCTGCACACTGTGTATGTTGCACAACAGACCAGAACCAACAACATAAGAGGCTATTGGTGATAAAAACAAAAAGCATGTGAGCTAAACTAACCTCTGTCTGTGGTCACTACCCTTTGGTAAGGATGGACCCGCATTTCGTGCCTTCGAACTTTAGTTGTCACTGCACCTGCTTGGATTGCAATAATATCACCAAAAACACAGATTAGACCAATAAAAACTTCACAATTTTCCATGAAACAGATCAATTTAAGATCAAACTGGACAGACGTCATATAGCTGTATGACCAAATAAGTTTCAAAATTTAACATCGTTTTGCAAATAATAAAAAAAATACAAGTTAAGGCACAAATAATACTTGTCTTTCATCTTTAAAACTAGCAATTGAAAACAAACAAACAAACAGAACAAAACAAAAACACGGTTGCATTCGTCCCAAGTGGATCCATGCGTTGCTTGGATACTGTATGATGGACATTAGTGACGAGCACACGCATACACACAAACGCACACAGAGGGGAGGCTTTACTAGTCACATAATCCTGCAGTGGAGCAACAGAGAAATGCATGTCTTCAGTCCCATGTTTAAATATAATACTGATAAACTCGCTCTCTGAGCAAAGGCACAGAGCCAATAGCATTTAGGCACATCAGCAGTAGTTACAAATAAGAGAACAGGGTAGAAAATACAACAGCGTTGAATTAAGTGATTAGTAAAGCAAGATAATAACTGATGTTTTCTCTCCTAAACCAAAAATATAGCAGTCAGTAGAACAGTCCTGTGACTATGCAATGTATAAATGCTTTTTACTGCTCAGGGGGCGCATATATATATATATATATATATATATATATATATATGTATATGCTAGGAGCGGAGCCTCTTTGGGTGAGGAGTGGCCAGTGTAAACAAAAACAGTAGTGTGTCTGACTGACTGCTAGACTCATATTCATGGTTCATCAAAAACAAGGCCGCGTTGAAACGAAAGCGCATGTGTGTTAACACTCAGATCGGATGAGGGGCTCAGTAAGGATCCTCAAAAGCGCTTTTAGCCTTTCGTGGGGAAAGCCACACCTAAAGAATAAAGGAAGGGAATGGGAAATTAGTGCCAGTCGCATTACCCATGCATTACCAAAGCCGTTTTAGGGCAGTCCAGATCTGAGACCCTGCAAAGCAAGGCCTCTCAGAGCCAGTTTGGTCATATATTTATTACATTTGTTCATATTGTTCTGTAAACAAGCCTGGAAAGCCCCGTCAAACTGTCCTACAACGGCTGAGCTTTGCTTATAACAGATGCCCCATCGCCCTCTGTCTCCCAAAGCAGCCCCTCTCTGACCCCCACTGTCCCCTCACCGTCGTCATGTTACTCCTCCTGATACCCCCTCCGGACTGCCCCGCCCCTAAGAGGGCGGGGAATGGAGGGAGCATCCAGAGAAGGTTTGCAGCAGTTTGGGGCTCAGTGCTTTTTTTTTTTAAGATCTCCCTCGTATTACGGTACACAGTTTGAACACAGCACATTCATTACAAATGAAAACAAAACAATAAAAAAAGAAAAAGACGTGGTTTCAGAAGAGATAAACAATGAAAGAGCCACCGGGGAGCCGCTTTCCGGTCAGTCCGATAAAGACGGGTGGGGATTGGGAGAGAGTGGGGAGGGGGGTGGGTGAGGGAGCTGGAGTAGTGACTGTGGGTCAGAGAAGGGAAAGGGTGGGAGGGTGCTTTAAAATGGAGGCCGGCTGGTCGGCTCTCCGCGCTGGACAGTGATGGGAAAGTGACAGGTCTGAAAGCCCAGGTAGAGGGGCAGCTCTTCGGCCTTTGAGGATGCTGTATAGGTGTACACAAGAGAGAAGACAGGGTGAAATCTTCCGCTCTCCTCACTCCCAAACACTCCTCACCTCCTTCGCCCTCTCACTAAGACCCGGTCCACATGTATTCGGATATTTTTGAAAATGTAGGGATTTTTGCTCAGTGGTTCAGCCTCCTGTCTTCATGAACTTGGCATTCAGATCACTGAAATTTACATTTTTGTAGAAGGTACTGAAAATTTTCATGCATGACTGTTTTATACTTTGGACTGTTTGCTGTTTTGGATGCAAGCATGGCTTTTATTTCTGGGTATATGGCTTCTGATAATGTGTTTACTTATTGTAGCTTAATTTAACCCTTGTTTTTGTCATTCTTTGTTTTCTTAATATTTATAGACAAAGCCACACAATGCCATCTATACTAGATTACTAGAATACATACACATATATTGTTGCTGTCGGAACAAACCCTTATTTCTCCATTTTTGTTTTTTTCAATTTTTCTTAAATCACAATATATTTCTGTTGGTTTTGCTGGGGCTTTTGTGAAAATTGAGGCAAAAATATCCCTTCAGAATGGATGAATTTTCTGCTCCCCATTCTTATGTGAGACCATCACTACTGATGGTCAATACACAGTCTGATCTACAGCTTCACAGTGCACACTTCTAGAGTAATATAGTTAGCATGCCAATCCAGTTTGTGTATATTTTTGGCTGCCAATTAATTACTACAGTAAAATCACTGGTAAAGCTGTTTTTTGCAATGCTTTTGGTCCACGGCTCAATCGAGACATTTCTAGTTTTCAAAAATATCTGGATACGTGTGAACACGGCCTAATGCATCCACATGGTCGAACCAAACACCCAAACCAGCCCCCCACCCCTCCAAACCAACCCCCCCACCTCACAGAAACACACTGAAACAGGCCTCTAAGACAGGACTACTGTACTGGGCTTGGAACATTTGGGAGCAGCCGGCTCGATCTTGGCTGAATAAAGGCTGCTTATTGGACAGTAGCTAAACCCTGCTTGGGCTCATCTCATTGGACACGCCGCTCTTGGCATGGGGACGCATTTTTTGTCGTTGCTCAACTTAACACTGCGCCTCTGGGAGCAGCCTGTGTTAAACTGGCAGAATGCTGTTTGTAACATGATATTCATAATCGGCTTTTCTCAAGTGCCTTAATGAAGCCATAGAGCTTGTGTGGAGAGGGGAGGACAGGGCCTTTGAGAGGGAACGAGAGAGAATGAGAGGAAAAAGAGTGAGAGAGAGAGCAGTGAGAAAAAGAGAGCGCTCTCTTATAATTCACATAAAGCCGGCAGAGCACTTAACAGCCCAATCATTTATGCACACATTTCTTAAAAGGATTTTTTTAGCTGTGAGAGAGGACTTTTATGACACTAAATGGATTAAGTGGAAAAGGCTGAGAGTGTTATTGTTTTTGTACTTATGTTGTTGCCTTTTTTACTTTCCTACTGTGATGGCTGAGATGGAAAAGGACGGGGTGGCGACGATAACTCTTAGACCGCGGAATCACATAGAGAGCTACACTGAAATGGGGAGACTGAGTTCGGGGAGGGTTTGGGGGAGGTTGGGGTTAGGGATGGGCGCATATGTTCAAATGTAGGGCTATTCAAACTTAGTTTCCTTAATTATGTATTTAAATAAAGCTTTTGTTGCTTGGAATAAATATATATATATATTTTGTAATTTCTAAAGATGATTTTGACTGAGTGACACTGAACTACACAGAATGTCACTTCTGTGATATGTATTATATCCAGTTGTATGAAAAAGGTTGAATACTCCAATCATGTTTTGTTGATTTTCTAAGAGAAAATACAGGGAACAAACTTAAATATGGCATTTTTCTGCACATTTCAGTGCACAATCTTTGTTGTGTATTTCTAAAGATAAACTGTTCCATAACTTTTGAGTAGGCTACATTTTATGTGTGAATACATAAATACATACATACATCATCTAAACCGCTTATCCTTTTGGGTCGCGGTGGGGTGCTGGAGCCTATCCCAGCTGTCATTGGGTGGAAGGCAGGATACACCCTGGACAGGTCGCCAGTCCATCGCAGGGCTTTATGTGTTAATATTTTCCCTAATATTTTGAATTCAGCAAATCAGCAGCCAATTTACATTACAATGTATGGAAGTATGTTCTCTATAGAAGATGTGTTTTTTTCGCTTAGAAAATCAACAAAAGATGTAATTTGACCAGAGGCGCCATACAACTGTACATTACATATTATATATCCATATTATGTATTGATATGAGGAGTGTGGAAATAAGTAAAAACAATTTTTTTTTTTTATTTGAAGTTTTACAGTGCAAATTGTCTGACTCTGAGTTATCACTCTAGATTAACTGGTACAGTGATATGCAAAAGATTGAACACCCTTGGTCAGACTTAAGTATGGCATTTTTCTGTATATTTTAGTGCACAATTTCCATTTATTTGCTGAATTTAAGATATCAGAAAAAAAATAAACCATAAATTTAAAATGTCTCGTAACATTTGCGTGGGCTAGATTTTATGCCTTTTTTATGTTAAATTCAGCAAATAAACAGTAATTGTGCATTAACATGAACAGAAGTGCGTTCTTTGTAGAGGATGCATGAACTTCTTTTCACTTACAAAATCAGCAAAAGATATAATTTGAACAAAGGCACCCAAACTTTTGCATACGACTCTGTTAAATTGCATACGACTAAAACACAAAGATGAATCATAAAATGAACTGAACAGTCATCTCACAGGTGATCTCATAAGCTAGATGCATGCATTAAACCTATGTTTACGCTGAAAACTGAACGCCTTCCGTGTTTTATTTGTAATTCACAATATTATAACAAATTTTCTCATTAAAATATTTGAATACTATTTAAAATTATATATATTTGAACAGCAAAGGCTGTTGAAATGCCCATCCCTAGCTGAGGGATCTAGGAGGAGTGCAGGATGAGGGTAGGTGCTGTGGTCCACTGCCTTGGCGGGTAGAGGTGGGTGTTTGGAAAGTCGCAGATGCAGCCATGCTTACCTAACACCCCGTTGGAGTCGATAGGGTACTCCAGGATGGATGTGGCAGGTGCCAGTGTGTAGGGGTACTCGTAGGGCGCAGCGTAAATCAGGCCCGCTGATTCCGGGCCAGGTGGCACCAGGGTGGCGGCGGCAGCTGGGTGAGCTGAGCCGTTGGGCATGACGGTCTGAATCTGGCGGATGAGGGGCATGATGGTGGGGCCGGCGGGCGTTGGGGTGCGCAGGGCAGCCGGCGGCAGGACGGGGGCGGGGCCGGCAATGATGCGGGGTGCCTGGGCACTCGCTGCAAGAGAGAAGGCAAGGGCAGCTGCGGTGAGCGGAGGAACGCGGAGGGTGGAGAAAGAAGAGGAGGAGAGGGGGAGGAATATGGGGAGGGAGAGCAGGGGAAGGGAGGGAGACAAAACAAGAGTTAGTACCATGCATGAGCTGTACACAGCACATAAAGCATGTCAGCGAGGGCAACAGCAGCCAGACATTAGTTAGTTAGGGAGCAGCAATACTTATACCTCCACTAATATAAAACTCCACAGGCTGGCACTTCATCAACAGCAACGTTTGCATAAGCAGTGAAGCAAAGAGAGGAGCAACACAGTGTTCCATGACATAAAACCAGACTTTTTCACCCCTTCCTTTTTGACTGTTTGTGAGCTTTTGCAGGCTTATGGCTCTGAGGCAATTCAGAATCAAAGCACTGAGCTGTTTGTGAGTGCTCTTATCTGCGAATCAGGGTTACCTGAGAGCGCAGTGTTGAGCATTAGTGAAAGTCGGGATCGCACAGCCCTTTAACAATGCCAACAAACAAAGCCCTGCAAATAGGAGGCACTTACGTGATTTAATGTTGGCGTCCCTGTAGGTGCCATTTAGAATGGCCAGTTCCATCAGCTGCATCTTCTTCAGACTGTCCTCTCCTTCAGCCTGGAAAAAGGTCACAAAGGTCAGTAACCAGCCAAGGTACACATGCGCACTGACCATCCATATAAAAAAAAAGTGTGAACAGCCCCGGTCAAATGTCAAGTTGATTTTCTAAGTAAAAACAAGTTAACAAAAGTAAATATGGGATTTGTCTGCTAAGTTTAGTGCATAGTTTGTATTTCTTTGCTGAGTTTAACATCTTAGAAACAAACAGAACATACAATATAAAATGTGCCATAACTCTTGCACAGGCCACATTTTATGTTTTTTTTTTTCCAATATGTTAAATTCAGCAAATAAACAGTAACTGTGCATTTAAATAAGCAAAACAGTGTTCTCTGTAGATGACACATTAACCTATTTTCACTTGACAAACAGACAAAAACATGTAATTTGAATGGGGCACTGAAATCTTTGTAAACGACTGTACATAGTGGTCCTACAAGGTAAGTGACCTCAAAGTGACCAGTGAGTGGACATACAAGGAAGGCGTTTCTAATCACACATCTTCTACAGGGAACAAACTTAAATCTGGCAGTTTTATGCAAATGTTTGTGCACAACTTCTATTCACTTGCTAAAGAAAAAAATGAAACCTACAATGCAAAATGTGTCATAACTTTGAACAAGCTACAGTTCATATTTTATTTTTTTCCAACATGTTAAATTAAGCAAATAAACAATAATTGCCCATTAAAATGTGCAGAATGTGTGTTTAGCATTTTTTTTTTCTTTTTCAGTTTAGAATAACATTTAATGGCCCCCAAAAGCATTTGGACATTTGTGCGATGCTTAAAAATGTATGTTCACTGCGTTAGGATACGAAATGTCAAACCAAGTGGCATTTATTTTACATTACCCTTTATCATTCCAAGACTGTCATTTTGGAAAAGTGTCCTTTCAAAAGGTGGCTCATCATGATCATTTGAGCATTTTCTTTGCAGACTTCTGCAGCTTTCCAGCACCCTCAGTGGAGTCTGGATGGAATTCTTCTGCAGACTTTCTCAATACAAAGAGGATATGTAGCTATTTTACTTCAACAAAATCAACTAAATGTGTCATTTGTAGGGGTGCCCAAAGTTTGCACATGACTGTATGTGTATGATTCCATGTCTTGCACGAATAAAACTCTCGTGAACGCAAAGGTCAGCATACAGCCCTGTACCTCATACGGCAGGAATCAACAGGACACGCTCCATCAGTCTTTTGTACTACCTCACTGGTTTAGATTTGAAAGAAACGCCAGCTGAAATCTAATCAGAGCGAAATCTTTTACATTTTACGTCGTCTCTAATCTGCGTAGCTGGCACGGAGAGTAAAAATAACAAAGCTCTGTTTCATTATTCTCCCCCTCTCGCACATCACAGCCCCGTTTGATCACTCGCAGGCCCGCAGCAGCAATTAACTTGCCAAGTGAAACGCTATCAAGACTTCGTCTTTTGATTTGTTTGAGGTGTCTAGAGACGAGATGCGCGCTTGGCGGCCTTGTCGCAGCGCACTCTTCCCCAGGCCCTTGGTGCCCTCCCCTGCAGCGCTGCTGGAACCCCCTTCCCGCTCCGGCTGTGTCTAAATATCAATACTTTATTAAGTCAAGAGGCTGGTGATGAATCGTGTGGGAGGGAGGAGGAAGAGCTGTTATAAATCACTCTCTGTCTTTATGTAATCAGCCAAATGCGCTCTGTCCTTGAGAGGGAGAAACTCCGAAGGGCCTTTGGGGGCTCTGCTACTGCGGGCCACTGTCACAAACAGGCTCACAAAGGCCTGAGAAAGTTTGGGAGCTGTTTTCAGCCAGTCCTACACAAGGGCGGGTACATAGTAACTTTCGGTGTACATTTGGTGGAGTTGTCCAAATAATTTATAATGATGCTGGTGATAAATGATGAAAAAGCCTCTATTTCGATTGCTTTGTGAAGGCAGAGGAAGCACTGTGTTGTAATATGAGGCCAGGGTCAATACAGTGCAGTATCAGGTATGAACCAGTGAGAGGTGCTGTGATGTCATTATAGCATTCTGACAAAGCCTGCCAATACAATTACAACTACACAGCACGATGAATGGTAACTGCACCCCGACTCCCTCACTCTCACTCTCTCTCTCTCGGTGCATTACTCTCTATACAGGAACCTGAGCTCCTCAAGTACGAGTTACAGAGAGCCGTGGAGCAAATCCAGCCGATTCTCTCTCTGATTTATGCCCCTTTCCTTTCCCCACAGCTCTATTGCTCTTTATTCTACAAATCAAAAGCCGTTTTCTTCCTCCGTAGTTGTGCTCCGCTCTTATCTCTCTCTGTTCATCTCTCCACAGCCTAACGTGAGTGATTCCACTGCGCTCACTTTTCCCCCCGCACACCTCAGTAATCTATTATAGGCCTGCTGACTATCTCACTCACACTGGCTCCCTCCTCCATGCCTCACTGTCCCCTCTATTCCTCTATCTCGCTCCATAACTCTCCTTTTCTTCTTTGTTATCGTTCCTTCATCCTCGTCCTCCCCTTTCTCTCTCTCTCTCTCTCTCGCTCATTCTCTATGACAAACTCGCCCAAAGCCCTTCCTGCATCCAGACAAAAGCTGAGCAAAGCCACGCTCCCCGCACTCGAGCTTCCGTGATTATGCCAGCGTTGTGTGGTGGAGTCTGCCGACGCTCGCAGCAAACATCAATACAGTTGATCTCAGTTTAATATAAAGGACGCTCTAGGACGGCGGAGCTGCTAAATCTCTTCTCAGTCTTCCGCCGTGGGCTTTGGCCGATTGTCTTTCTCTTATGCTGCTGCATTCAAAAGTGCAAGACAAAAACTCCGGCTGCACAAAAAAGCTGTCAGAAACTAGACAAAACAAAAAGGCCTAGCCAACAATCTTTTGTCTGAAAATCTCGCAGCAACTACACAACAAAAAACATGGGTACACGAGGGCTCATATCATGGAAAACTAAATTTAAACTTGTCTAGAAAGTTTGGGAGTTTAATGTAGTATGTAAACATTGTTAACCCTTCTATAAATGGAAACTAAACTGCTAAAACAGCTCATATTAATCTCACTGTTTTTCTGAAAGCATTTACATACATCTGTCTTTTCAGCCTAGTCCCTCTCACTCATGCTGAAGTTATAAGGGGTGTTTCAGACCTGCTCTTTGAGGCAGACAATCAGAACAGAGCTCATTTACATATATCTGTCTTAAAGTCACAGTAACAAAAACGGCCTGTTAATTCTAAGGGACAAAAGTGTCATATTAAATGAATTTATAAAACCACATGCATGTTATAAGTGAATTTACAATAATAAAAAACAATGTATGGGCCCTTTAACTACCTCCCAGAATGCTCACAGTATCCAAAGTAGCTGCCAAAAACATTGTGGCAAAACTGAATGGATGGCAGGATGTGCATAACAACGGTCGTCTTACAGTGATCCTTATCATGGTCTGAAGGATTTGGAAAACTCTGCTCCTACTCTACAACCTATTAGATGGGTGAAGAAATCCTTACAACACAGCGGAGGCTGTTAGGTTACATCACCTGCAGAGAAAGGCTTTTTTTTAGCAATACATCTCAGATAAATGTCATTTTCATATAAGGAAGCTGTCCACAGTGCCCACCTCCAAATGCACACGCATACATTTGGCTGAGAGCACACATAATAGCTGATGAGCCTCTAACAATGGATTGAAGTTATGGAGATTTATAGGTGTTGTGGTCTGTGCTCTAACCCCAGGTCTGGGGGGAAGAGAGTGGGGTTTGGGGTGAGGGGAGCTGGAGTGGGGACAGTTCGGCGAAAACGCAGGTCAGCCGCAGTGGAATGCTTTTTATGTTCGCCTGCATAAAGAGGAATCACTCTGGACCTATTCAGGCTGGGATCATAATGACCTTTGGAGCACAATGCCTGCCTGCCTAGCCCTCTCCATCACCGCCTGTCAGGCTGCCTGTGCCCCCCCTCCTCTCCCTTCCTCACTCTCCCTTCCTCACTCTCCCTCCCTCCCTCCCTCCCTCCCTCCCACATTTTCAGTGGATCATATAGGGCACAACTGATATGAACATTTTGTCACTACCTAATTTAAGCAACCATACATAAAACAAGTTCACTTATAAATAACTTTATAACTTAACCTTAAAATTCACAGTGAAACAAGTACATAACATTAACTCTCATGAAGTTAAACCCCTTAGTAAACATTACATTTGGTTGTTTTTCCAAATAGCATCATATCCCTGAACGTAGTCTCTTATACAACACTGAAAGAGATTTTATTTGGTGTGATTTTTGCAAAAGCCAATAAATTAAATCTGAATATCAGCCATTTTATTGGCCAATTGATATACTGCTCAAGCCAAGTTCTTTGTTTGCTGGGAAGTTTATCAGTTCATAATAACACAGTGACTCTCTTTCTGGCAAAGCATTCCTTCAAAAGGCAGCTGATTGTTATTGTTTGAGCAGTTACTTTGCAGTTACTTCTGCTGTTTTGCATCCAAAATGCTTTGGAACACTTCTGAGTTCATCATTCCATCAATCAGCACCGGCTCACCGACACCACTGTAAGAAAAACAGACTTTGATGTTTCCACCTCTGTGATTTACACACCCTTAGTGCTGTCTGGGTAGAAATCTTCTCAACACAAAGAGTCTACCGTCAGTTTGATGTTGTGTTAAAAGTGTTTTTTCTCTGAAACAAATATCCTATTTTGTTATACATTTTTTGAAGAAACTTAAATGTTTGGTGTCCAAATTCTGTTTGGGGCCACTGATTTAAAGCCTAATCAGATTTATTTGAAGGAAAACAATATTGCATGTATAAACATTTGTGAAAAACTAAACAGAAATAAACAGGATACAATATGCCCATGAAAACACAGTGCACACACTTCCTTCATTCGAACACTCAAGTTTTTCTGTGTATTCCTCACAGATGCTCTGTCAGGCTGTGTGCAGAACGTCTTAGAAGTGTTCAGAGCTGGATGTCTCCCAGCAGCTTGACTGAGTCAGAGACGGGGTTAAGGTTGGGTGACTGGGCCATT